TCATCCACAGTTACCCTTAACCTTTACCCAACTATTCTAAACCCATTATTACTATTAGGTATTCGAAAAAAAAAAAAACCGTCCTTTCTTTTTTCAAAGCTATTTAATTAACTTCACTAATTTTTTCCATTTTGTACTCTCCCCTCCACCAAAAAAAAAAAAAATAGAGCATAGCAGTAAAGCATGTGCAACCCAATCATAAACATCTGACTTGTAAAAAAAAACATTCTCTTTCACAACAGCAAAAAATAGAAAAAAAAAAAACTATTGGAACAAAAGCTTTCACTTTACAAAGCTGTCATCATCTCGTTACTAAAGGTATTTTTGCCAAACAATATTTATGAATCAAAAAATTATATTCATGAAAAATACAAAAATTTTTTCCCTGTCTTAACTGTAGACTTTTGTAAAGTATCACCTGTAACGTCGTATAAACAAAGCATTTGCAGGCAATAGTTTGTTTATATGAATCACATTCCGCACTCTCAGAATCAAAGACAACAAGATGGATTATAAAAGATCATTCACACCAACTCATACATATCGAATTATTCGAGTAAGTAGAATTTTTTCAATCAGCAAAGCTTTCTTCTTTTTCCTAGCATAAAGGGTTGGTTAAACAAATAGAAAAATAAAGAAAATGAAGAACTGCTATCATAGGTTACCCAAAACTACCAGAAATGCTGAAACACCGGCACCAAAAAAGTGTCCCAAATTATAAAAATAAAAGAGTAAACAAAAACCTTTTTCAAATAATTTCTGGTAAAATTACCAATCAAAAACTTATATAATTTATTCAAACACACAAATTTCAACATCAAAAGCAACCCATATCGATACATTCCACTCTGTTCTTTCTGTAACAACAATCGTCTAAAAATTAAAATAAAACTGCAAAACACATGATAAGTATAACTCACATTATGGTCACACCGAAGCTTGTAATGATGAAGTGTTTGACGGTGGACTGGAAGTTGTTTGCGGAGACTGAGCTGCAGCTACTGCAGCAGCAGCATGAGCCATAGCATTACTTTTTATCGCATATGCAGCAAGAACATTTCTTTGTAAATCATAGGGGTTACATCCCGCCATTAAGCTATAAAATAATCAAACTTAGGTGAACCCTACCGATAACTGCATTTAAGAAAGAAATATGACATTAAAAATTTTTATAAACAAAACAATGACTACCTTCTTGGAGAATTCACAGAAGCTGAAGGATTGAAAAACGTAGAATAATATGGGAATTCAGCAGCCTTAGACAGCGCTGCACTATCAGCTGCAAATTTAGCAGCAACATCAAGTGGATGCATTTGGGGATAAAAAGGACCCGGATGAGGTACTGCGCTTTGTCCTGTAAAAACTCCATTAAATGAAAACAGGAAGGTCCATAAAAGTACAAAGAAAGAAAACAAAAAACAACAGATTAGACGGAATATATGTGTCATATAAGTTAGAAAAGCAAAAAACCTAATAAATTAGTAGGCGGAAACGTCGAAAAAGGGAGTGGGAACGAATACTTTTCTTTTGGTTTTACAACATTTTTTGGTTTTCTTCGAGGCCGATATTTATAATCCGGATGTTCTTTCATATGTAAGGCCCTTAGCCGTTTAGCTTCATCAATAAACGGCCTCTTTTCAGCATCACATAGCTGCTTCCATTCAGCACCTGAAAAAAAGCGATTAAGATGTCAAAAACTTTTGCAACAAGGCAGGTATTCCTTCGAGAAAAAAAAACGTGATAAATATGATAGGAGAAATTAGAATAAAGAACATCCTAACCAAGTCGTTTACTAATTTCACTATTATGCATCTTCGGATTATCTTGAGCCATTTTTCTCCTCTGTCCCCTCGACCACACCATAAATGCATTCATTGGCCGCTTTACATGTGAATCTGTGGAACTTTTATTGCAGCTAGAACCAAGTGACTGTCCTAAAACAGTTTTATAGCTTTATTTAAGGACCGCTGAAATGACCAAAAGATAATGTTCGGAAAAAAATTTGTCAATATGTCTGCTATACAAAATAACCAAAAAGCTTTGATTATAATGCCGTCAAATAAAGATTTTGTATTACCAATTATAAAAACCGTTGAACAACAACAATTCCAAACATTAAAACAATGGATGAAACAAAAAAAGAAAAGTCGGTTTCAACTGATATTTATGGCTGATTAACGATAACCGTAAGAAACCTGTAGACTGTAAATGCGTTTCATCCGATGAAATAGATCCAACATCATCTTCCTCATCAACATCGTCATCAATAATTTTCTGTTGTTGCATATTTATTTGTGCTGTTGAAACCGATGGTGTTGTTACGATGCTTGGATATAACATCGACAGTTCGGTCATGGTTGCACCCTGTTTAAAACTCTCAATGGAACTCTCCGGCCGCCGAAAAGCTTCAATAATTGCAGCTGTCAAAGCACAAAAAAGTATACCGTTTGTAACAATGAAACCTTTAAATTCAATAAAATATTTCAATGATAATGTATAATGGAAAAAATTTATTATATTATTACTTCTTTAGCGTTCAATAATAAGAGCAAAAAAAAATTAAAAAAAATAAAAAGTAAAAAAAATAAGAATAAAAAGAAGTAAATAAATAGACAAATAAATGTAAAAATATAAAGCGGGAAAAAAAAGTATCTATATCGATATAGTTGCACAATTAAAATCGTTTTATTTCCGGTGATTAAAGTGCATTATTTCAGTTTTATCATCAACAAATATACATTTTTGAATATTTCAAAAAATAAATTTCTTTCCAATTTTATGTTGACCAAAACCACGTAACAAAGAGAAACCGAAAGAAAAAAAATTCAACTCTTAATATCGCTTTGAAAAAAAAAAAACAAAACAAACACAGCAAAATTGTGAACCGATTTCTCAGCGCACCAAACAGCGATGTGGGCAGAGCCACAAATTAACGAACGAACAGAAGGCAAACGACTACTGTAGACGCCTATTGTTTTACGTCTGATGTTTTCGTTACTTAATCTAAGTTCCACAGCAAAACAGAAACATACAAAAAATAAGATGCTCATAACTTAAAAATATTTAATTGAATGGCAAATTGGTCAAATAAAAATTCCATCAAAGTCACCATAAACCGTTAGATATCAACACTTCATAATCCCACTTAGATTACTCGTTTATCCTTTGAACAGGAAGAAGAAACTAAAAGACCCCTTTATAATTCAGTATTTAAAATCATTGATATACCACCATTCGCTTAATGACCAGAAAAAAGCACCATCATCGTGATCAGCAGAAGAGCATTAATGTTCCAGACTGCGAAGGCGTAAACTTGTAAATTAGAAATGAAAACACTAAATTAGGTGCAAAAACAACTTCTTTCCACACCTTTCTTTAAGAGAATTAAGAATAAATCCTTCATTTTTCGAAAATAAAAAAGCTTCAAGACTTTTAATCTTAGCCAATATCGAAACTAGTCTGGAAAGCAGATAAACCGAAAAAGAAAAAAAGATGAACTTCTGCAGCCGTTAGATACTGAGACACTTCTCTACTAAAAGTTAAGAAGATATGCAAAAAATTCACAAATTCCAAAAATGAAAATACCTTGAAAAAAAAACTTCCTAAAAATCCAAATGATATGGGTGCAAAATATAATTTTAGTGTCAATGAAAAGTATCATTTGCAGCAAATACTACGCACCGTAAATGTACCAGAAAGTGAAGGTGATTAAATCTTATCAACACAAAACTGGCTTCGCTGGTCCACAAATATGCTTTGATCTTAACTTCTGCTGCTGCTGCTGCTGTGATTCTAAGTGTTGTCGGGGTAAAACTACAAAACAAAACAAAACAAAAGATAACAGATATTGATGAA